TTGTTTATGAGGCAGTATTCAAGTTTAATTACTACTCTAAATTAAACTCTAACTGGCATCAGGAGACATCCCTTTACATGACTAAGTTAAAAAAAAATCTGGAAATCCCAATTCTGGATTTTTCAAGTAAGTTGATATATATAGGAATGAAATTACTCAAAATTAATGGCAATTATAGAAAACTTTTAAGCTTTTATGGGCAACCGTTGCATGTTCCTAGAGCACGCATTTATTAGAAGACTTAAATTTTATTGCTCATAGCGACTATCTAAAATGTCCTAAGAGCTTCAGCAGAACATACCTAAATGTTTGCTGATGATTGAAGGATGGTTTTCATTTTTATTTAATTTTTGGAGGGGGAGGAAGGGAGTACCATATGAATATTTTATATAGAATAGCTTCTTCTCTGGCCAAGTCCAAACATCAATTATAGTTGGAGAGAAAAAAAAAAATGTTGATAACAATCAGGAGGCAGGAGATGCTATTGTATTTATCACAAGCTAGTGACCAGTTTGGGGTGAACTTAACTCTACGAAAAATAAAAGTTAAAAGCAACTAGCAAAAGATGATGCCAGATGGCGGCTGTCATATTGTATTTAGGGTTATTTTAAAGAGATTGCCACCACTATGAAAACATCCCATTGACGGAGTTTTCCTAGGCTGAATGAGAAATCCCAGCAGAGAATATTCAGGACCCTCAGTAAGTGGGTTTCCCCCTTGCTCCTTTAAATACATAACTGGAATATTTAAAACCGAGAAAATGTTATTTCATAACTGCAACGTAGTGTAAACTCAAAAGTGTCACGATATCTTATGTATGTTTGACTGTAAAGGCTTCCATTCATTTCTAAGGGGACCTTGGTAGGTTTCAACACTACGGTTGCTGAATAACTGTATAATAACTAGATAAACATCTAGCTGCGGGATTCTAGCCTCGTTGCCCGGATGATAGATGGTGACATCAATGGAGGGGTCTGGTGGCAGAGTCAAGGGGAACCCTGCTGGCTTGTACAGCCCAGGGTCTTGAGTAATTAGTGATATAGACGCTAGCTTGCTCCTGTATTTAGGTTAATCTGGGTCTGGCAACAGTATGGTTAACGTGTGTGTGGTGTGCACTGTGAGCTCAGCAGTTACTGGGCCAACTGTCTCGGTATTTCTGGGAATCCTGCCTATTCACAGTGCAGGGATTGTTCAATTGCTGCAAAATGTACAAAATGAATTTTACAAAAATGAATTGTAAGGAAGGCCCCATTACAACGATTTTACAGCAAAGATGTCAACATCAATTTTTCTTTCATGCATAGCTAATGATTAAAACAGCATATTCCATTTGCCTAAGACAATTTATTTCATATTGGCACATCAAAATATTGAAATACAAAGTTATCTTTTCTCTACCCTCTTTATTCACTGCTGTTGAACCCATACCATTGTTCAAACCAGGAAAAATAAAACAAACTTGGCACGAAATACTTAAAACAAAGGCTCATCAATATTCTCCAATTTGTCAACATCTCAATTACAGCACTGGAAAAAATGTAAATTTCGTGTGCTCTAAACACTGAGGGGTCTAGTCTCTTGCCAATTCACACGTGTAGCTCGTATCAGCGTTAATGGGAGCTACACAAACCCATCAATAATAATAATACTTTGTACATATACTGTGCCTTTTATCTAAGGCTCTCAGAGTGCTCTAGGAACAAGGAGGCTGCTGCTTAGGCTTCACTCTGGCAAAGCACACAGTGAAACACAGGCATCTTTAGAATCCGCAGGTACAGAACGAGGGACCCCAGGCCTTATTATCAAACCCCATTTTACTGTCGGGAAGTCAGGCACAAAGACAGGCAGTTACTGCCCCAGAGCCCCGGAGTCTGCACCCTAATTCCGTCCTTGAAAAACCAGATTTCCTTCCTCATTGGAATGCGACTAACAAGACAAACGCCCTCCCTTTGGCTGCTTTTCGAAAACAGAAAACCTAGTGAATGAAAAGCCGGCTTCATATTTATACAGTTGACTGGTGTGTGGTTGGAAAGACAGTCAGACTGCAAATTTTCCAAGTTCATTTCTTACGATATTAAAAACGTCATTTTTCTCCTCCTTTCGGTTTATCATGCAAACACCTATGCAAAAAGATAACCTCTCGTCTGTGTACCATCTATATAGCTCCTCAGTATCGGGTCATAGAAGGAGGTGCTTTTAGGTTCCAAGGTATAGATTTGTTAGAATCCTTATTGTAAAAATATTCACAAAAATTATAAAGCAACATAAATGCATGTATTGTTTTATAGCATATGGCTATTAAAGTTTAATTTAAAATGTGTATGAAAACATTGTATTTAGTACAATTCATCCCTATTTCTTCTGTTTATCATAATTTGTTTTGAAATTGAATCATTTTACAGTTTTCCATATGCCTGTTGTGCTAATAAATTCTGAAGAAGTAAGGAAGTCTCTTGTGAACTGCAAACCTAGATTCCAATGAAACATTATGATATATTTAATATGAAGAACATAAATTTCCCTCCCAGCTTTTCCATTCTACATCAACCCTAAGATCTAGCCTATGATAAGCATATGTGATTTCAGTCAATACCTCTGCTGACTTTGCCCTGCAGCAGATAATTAATCTTTCCCCCTGAAAGCTACTCTCGGAACCTTTTGGTGGAACAAAGTAGCAAAATATCTTGAAAACATGTTTAAAAGATTATGGGAGCAAAACATACTTAAGTCTGGCCTTCAAAATTTAGGGTCTGCTGTCAGAAAGAAACAAAACAAAACAAACAAACAAAAAACCCAGAATACCTTGGCGCAGGCATTTTAATCACTAACAGGGTGGTGAGCCAGGTAGAAAAATTCTCTTTGCACGAACAGTCTCCATTTTATAGAAACAACAACTTTCCCCACTTTCTCTCAAACTTTAACACAGTTGCAGGGGAGGAGGGGGGAGACAGCCTTCCTAGTGCTCACATCCATAAGCCACCGTGTCCATTCTTTAATCCCACAGAGATATGATTAAAGGAACAAAATGCTTGGGGGAATCAAATCCTTCAGCAAGGGATAAGTGGGTGCAGCTACCCACAGCAAGGGGAGCTCAGTGTTTTGTTTCTCCCCAGAGGATGTCTTACATGCCTTCTCTTTCTTGACCAAAAATCCTTAATAAAACAAAACCGACTAACTAAAATGATAAAACTTCATGCTTTGTCTGCTATGGTAGCTATTCCTTGCTCCAAAACCTACATTTTTTCCTCTCCTGCCTTCTCTCTCTCTCTCTCTCTCTCTCTCCCCCCCCCCTCCTGTTGTCCCTCCCGCCATAACTCAACTAATCCAACAGAACCAGTCAGTTTTAAATTTCAGCTGGGACCTTGGTGACCTGTTAATGAATCTACAGAGAAGAGAAAAACTCACAGTGCTGAGTTATGCCTGGTGTCGCGAGCTGACATGGAGTCAGAAATGCTTGAAGCGTTAACGTAATTGCAAGAATGTGAAAAATGAAGCGCTGGGCTCCTGAGCCAAGTGAAAGGTCAGAGGGAGCCTCACACAGGAGAAGTTTCTGGAAGATAGCCTCATTAGGCCATTAAGTCTGCTTCTCCTTCTCTCCCTGCACCCCCCAGTTCCTGCAATGTTGAGGGTGTTTTGTTTTTATTAATAGATATTTCTCCCCTTTGTGGTAGCCTAACTTGGGGCCGTGGCGAGGACTGAATGATTGAAAGCTTTCTGCATTTGACCCAGGGTCACTTGGAACCACAGTTAAACCTCTGTATTGCAGATTCACTGTTGAATCTACGTACACAATACTTTCAAAATGTGTTAGCATGAAGTTTATTTTACAAACAGTCCTTCTGATGCACTCAAACCAATATACATATAGCTCACAAGTTCTTCTATAGCTTGTCATTTCATAGTGCGTCATCTGTGAGCCAAAACTTGTTTAAAAAGACAGATTCTGACTAGGATTCATTTACAGGTAAAAAAACATCCTAAAAAGGCCTGTTTTCTAGATTCACTTGGAAATTCAGAAGTCCAGAATCCCTGGCCAGAAACATGGAGGAGGGTAGATACTCACAGCACACCAGCAACTCCCTTTGAAATGTCCTGTATAATTACAACTCAGCCTGTAAAGCAGTATTCGACTTGGAAGCCTGTTTAATGCTTAAATATTGTGGCCATAAACAGAAACACAATAGAGATAAAATAGACCTAAGAGATCAGACACCATCTAATGTAAAATATTAAAAAGTAAAATCTATCACATTCCTGGACCACATTCAATAATGCATCTTCCTTTAAATGATCATTTTATCCGTAGAAGAGTCATTCCTACCAATATATAACTGTTCCCTGTTATAAATGGTAAAATTCATTCCAAATTGCAGAAGGCTTCCTTGATAATCTGTAGTTGTTCTCCTTGCCTTCTGAAACTCTATTTGTTTTTTTTTTAATTGGGACAAAGGTCACTGTGTCAGCTATATAGAAGCAGGGACAAGAAACATTGAAGAATTTTAAAATCCATCTTCCCAAAATAAGAGTCTGTATAAATCTCTTCAACCCTCCCCCATCCCAGACCGGCATTTCTGGAGTTAATGAGAACAGATTTTTGCATCTTACAAGCTTTGGAGGCATGATTGCTTTAATTATAAAGAAGCCCTATAGTACATATTACAAGCAAATATCCTGTTTATTGTATAAGTCCAACTACTGGATTATAACAGTTAGGTAGGCCTGTCTTTCTGATAGTCACCACAGTAGTGTAGATAACCACATTTGTAAGAGAATTGGCAGAACCAATCAATTATTATTGAAATGTGAACTTAAAGATTAGATAACTCATTCTGAGTCTTTACATAAGGTAACAAGAGGAACCCCGTCTTCCTATCAACCAGTTGGTAAATTCCCTACACCCTTATCTTCCCCTCTCTTGTTTACATGGACTGATGCCGTGAAATGCGGAAGTTAGTTTGGTCATGCCTACTTTTGCACAAAGAAAACTCATAACTTCTTACCTTGCTCGCTGCTGTTGTCTCCACTTTGGGAAGCATGGCCCCCACTGGAGGGTCCTGGGGTGCCTGCTGAGTGAGTTGAGGTTGCATCATCGTGGTCTCGCCAGGATGAAGGGTTCTGATGTCAGGATACCAAGGAATTTTCCCACAGTTACCATTTGAGCCATAAATGAGGAACCATGAAGACAGACAGGCACAGTGGGAGAAAAAGAAATGTGTACATATTAGTATTTTCCAAAGTGGCCCCAGGCATGCTATTCTATGCCATCTTCTTCTGTTACATCAGCATATACATTTGTTAAATCGGACATATCTCTTCTAAGTGTGTACATCCTATTAGATACAAATTTACACCTCAGTGAGGGAAAACTGCCTTAAAAATGTCTTTCTCAACTTTTCTGTTATAAGCAGGACACATTTTCCTTGTGTTCTCAGACACAAAATCCATCAGACTATGAGCCTCTACAAAGTTCAATACTCCCTTCAAAAGAGTATGGGGTCAACAATGGGCGGCGGGACAGCCCCTACACCTTCCAATGCCTTGCCTTAAAATAGTCTGTCTGAACGCTCCAAATGTTATCAACAGGTAGACTGTATGAACAACCGGAGCAATAGCAATCGTGCCATCAATGTTTAACCATCAAACCCTGCTTTAACTGGCACAAATGGCAATTTTTAAAAATGAAACCGACGTGGGCTGCTCACACTTTGCCAGCAAGCTGAGACTTCCGCTTTAAGCGACTGAGCAGTGGCTTCTGGAAGAACCTCGAAGGACTGCAAGGCAAACCAGGAGGTACCAGCTCATGCTACTTTGCTAATATAGTCGTCTCCGGCTTCCCCTCCCCTTTCCTGGTCATTCCCAATACCACCACTGTAGCTTAAAGGGAAACAGGAATTCTAATGTACAGGAAGGACTTTATCAGCACCACATGAAGGCAGGCAAGAGATGGAATTTCCTCTGGCAGGCAGGGAGAGCAGGAGCCACGCATGAAACACAGCAGCCTTGGGGCCAAAGCTGTACACTTGTCACCTATGTGCTATGATTTTGACTAAACCTGTAGGACCTACAGGCAAGAGCCCTCTTTAGGGGCTGGAGCCCACGGTGCAGGACAACATTTTAAAGACTTCACAATCTCTCAGAACACAGCAGCACTTTTTACTAGAATTGGTAAACAGTAATTCAGAACAAGCATAGGTCACCTACAAACCACGTGGCTAGGTAAAAATAATCTTGCTATGATACCAGGATACAGAGTTTATGAGGAAAATAGTCAGCCTGTCATTTTTCCCAAGACTAAGGCCACAATGTATAGCAGATAGTGCTACTGAAATAAAATCAGAAACCAAAGGAAGACAAATGAAGGAAATCCTCGAACTTGAAACAACAGCAGTGGACATTTTCCCCTATAGATCTTCTATAAACACATTGTACTTTGATATTTGGAATTTTGGCAGACGAAGACATGATCCAGATCGCTGTGATCAACAATATCAATGTCAAATAGTGTGGCTGGCGACATCGCCAGGCGAGCCATCGACTCAAAGTCAAGACCTTGAGTAGAAATCGTGACTTTAAATATAGTTCAGGTTCAAATCTGTACAATAAAGATGTAATGGAAAAAAGAGGATTAAGGAAGTAGGTGGGCATGGTAGCCCACGTCTGTAACCCCAACATTCGAGGGGCTCAGCAGGAGGATTGCCATGAGTTTGAGTCCGATCTAGACTACCCAGTGAGATCCAGCATCAAGAGAGAAAGAAGGGAAGAAAGGGAGGGAAGATAGGTAGGAAGAAAAGAAGGAAGGATGGAAGGATGGAAGAAACGACTGATTTGGAAATGAAAGTGAGAAGAATATACAAGACCGAGTTATCTGTTGCTTTGCAGTCTCTTCATGGCAGGCATTTACTGCTTGGGGATCAGCTGGAAAGCTAGAAGAATTGCAGCAGGGGATGGAAGGGAGAGAGGCATGGTGTGTGCTTATTCTGCGACAGCATGGACTGCAGGACACTTTCCCCAACCAAACTTTCCAGGGGATACAGCCGGCGAGGTTTGTTTTATGCACTGCAGGCTTTTTTAAGCTGGCTGCTATAAAAGCTCCTTATCCCTCATGAAAATTACAATAATTAACCATTAACACCTCAACTATGTTTTAAGGCAAATGTCATCCAACATAGTTATATAATCGTTCGGATGGAGCTGGGACAGGTCTTTCGGTTTAAGTGCTGGCGTGATGGGAGGGTTCGCGCACAAACGATTTCTGGAGCTGAAAAACACGGCTGTGTTTTTATCAGCCAGGCCTGGGCTGGACTTTAAAGTCAAGCCTCATTAATTCATAATTTAGTATCTCTCTCTCTCTCTCTCTCTCCGTGGCTTTCGGGAGCAGGTGTCTTCTAAAGTCACACTTGTCAACATTACTAGAACACGGGGCTCCCCCAACCAAGTCAGGTCTTCGACTTTCCGTGTGGTCACCAAATTTTCTCAAGTTTTCTTATCTCCCACTCCCCTATCTCTTCCCTCTTCTCCTCCTCACCTCCCAAAAACATACTCTGTTGAAAAAAAAATGTCACATTTCCTTGGTGTCTCTTGTGTTACGTTCAGCAGAGAGACTGAAGCACACTGAGGGGGCTCCTGATAATCGTCTAGTGGGAAGAAGGATGAACAGACAGATCCCTCTGGGAGTTCTGGGGTAGAGACTCTACCCCAAGATGTCTATATAAAGCTACAGATAGTGGTGTGATCATATATAAAGACCCACATGGGTAATCTGAGCAACATAAACAAAAATTCTTCCTTCGCCATTAAAAACAACAACAACATCAACAACTTAAAAAAAACACACCCTACACAGACAACATAAAGCACTGCCCATAATACTGGGTTTTTCTTAGATGGAAATACTGTGTATAGCACAGCCTCCCCTCCCCCCCCCCCAGATAGTTTCCAAGTTTGCATCCTTCAAGACTAACCACCTGGCTCCCTGCCAAATTAGAAGCAGAAGTTTAGTGAATCCTGAACCAACGTGATACACAAAAGCATGTAAAAACATATGACATATGTAGAAAAATATAAAAGAGAATCGATTCCTACGTGCGTCAGTGTAGATGAGAACTCGAGTATACACATTCCATAATATATGTCCTGTTCTCCAGCCAAAAATACCATGAAGACACCCCAGGGCAAGGAGGGAACATGTTTCTAGTCCCAACGGCTTTAATAATTGGGAGTCAAAGATGGCACTCCCCTTGTTCTCTATATAATTGCGTTAAAGAGCAGGGTTACCAGGAGAAAAGCAGTGAATACCGAGTAGTGCACAATAGGAGATGGGAAATAGATACACGAAGCTCCGTCTCCAGGGGCAGTTTTTTCTATTTGCTGGGCTACAGACTCACAGCTGATAATGCAAGTTGTAATTAATATAAAAGCAAGAGACAATATGGGCCGAGCGTGTAGTAGCAGGGCCACGGGAGAGCGCTCCGCTGCTCTCCTTGGCTTCTCATTTGCACAGGGCTTTCCCTAGAAAACACAACCCTGCCAGTGTTTTCTCCCTTGAAAGTTAAAAAAAAAATTGATTTAGCACCATCATTGAATTTTGCTAAATCTAGAAAAGAGAACAGAGAGGGCTGGAGTCCCTGGGCACAAGAGGCGAATCCTCCGTGTGCTTCTTTTGTTGAGGTTGCAGATAGGCTGCAATTATACTTCAAACCAGAATGGCACTTCTGTGAGGGCCCTGCCTATAGGATAATACTTAATAAGTCCTAGCCAATTGGTCGTGTTTCCTGTATCAAAGTATTCCCCACAGTGCACAGTTCATTCACGGGGTCACTGGGGTAAAATGTGCAAGCGTTTCCAAATAAAACCATAAAAGTAAAATGTCTTAGGCTTGAAGGAAACAGGAGCCACTATTGCGTTTAAGAGTTGACAAAAATAAACTGAGCTCTTGTTTTTAGACTCCATATGAAAAGTTATTCTCTGCATGTGGAACCGGGGAGAAGACAGAAGGATAGAATCAACTCTTGGGGACACCTCTAACAGGTCATGTGACCGGGAGTGATTTCTTCATTGACGTCCTTTTGGACATGTCATTTATCTCTTTGGAATTATGAAGTCATACAAGATAATTCCCAAGGTCATGTCCACTTCTGTCCATTTTGAAAAGTACTTTAAACATAGCCACCATGTCTTTTTCTAAAAGTTACCCATGTAACTATATAACATAAAACCGAGAAGAATATAGGAAGCGTGAAAACACAGTACAGTCATTTAAGGTATGCACTCATAGCTACACAGTAGCAGAAAACGCAGTCAAAGACATACTCATTCACTGAAGAGGTACACAGACTCATCTGACTTGACATATTTAAACCACGAAAGGAAGGTATATTTGTGTCAATACTTCCAGTTAATATGAAGTTACTTATGCCCTATGCCTTTTACAGTCTCTTAAGTTCTAGTTAACAGTGTGGGCAGAACTCTTTTTTTAAAAAGATGTAAGCACCCTTCTCCTTGGGCATGCAAGTCCACAAGTTAAAAACGTTCATGGAAAGGGCTGGGATAAATGCTGAGACTTCAACTTTTTGATTGTGATGTGGACCAAGAACTCAGGACACCAGTGCAGGCTTTTAGAAGCCAGAGTCTTTAAACATGTAACTTGAGCTGGAGATTTTGCCTCAGCGTTTGCAACATTGCACCAGTCTTTGGGAATTAACGCGTAGGCACACCTCACACAAGGGCAACATCCTTTGCAAAGGATTGCGCCATTGAGTGGTGGACTCTCGAAGACAGAAACACATCTGCTGCTCCAGCGAGTGTTTGCAAAGGCTTTCTATGATTCTGAAGTGTGGCGGCATAGCTCCTAGAGCAGTCGGTTCATAAACAGCCAAGACAATGACGTCAGATACCACCAAGTCTTCTCATAGCATTCTGAATGTCTACGGGACTGTCAAATGTACCTAGGATCCATGTCACCACATTTACACTGGAGACATGCTCCAGCAGCACAGCCTAAAGAACTTAAATGATGCAAATATTCTTGATGAGAAATAAACAGGAACGCTATCAACAAGCAGAAATTTCGGCAGAAACAAACACCAGAAAGCCATGTCTTTTATCAGGGTCCTTAAGAAGGGACCCTGAGTTCCAAAGTAAAACTTCCCAAAAGTAGGTCCCAGAGGCTTTGAATGAAGCACAGCCTAACACCTAATATCACACTTCCGTGTGAGAAACTAAGAGACAAAAGAAATCACTCATGTTATTAATGTTAATATCCAATCTCATTATTCTCTCTTTCATCTTCAATAGACCAACCACTCAAACTCAAACCTCTCCTTGCTGGGGCCATCACTTCGAGTTTTTCAAATAACAATAGATTTTTCTCTACCAGCACTTGGCCATTTTCTGTCAAGAGCAAGATTCTGGTAATTCTCTCTTCTGACCTAACCCATTCAAAAAAAAAAAACTGTAGCAACATAAATATACTTGACATATTCAGAAACGCAAAACAATAGTAGCATATGTTCATTGAAACTACAGCACAGAAATGAAAACAAAATGTCATTTTCTCATGATGTTATCAGAGCCAGCCAATTTTAAGGTACCTGCCAATACATATTAATACACATAACTATATTTTCTTTACTTATTTCTTTCAAAGAAAATAAGATGAAGGTGTTTGGCACCGTAAACAGGAGTGGTATAACTATGTAACCACATGCATTGCAAACAAGTGTAGCCAGAAGGATATATTTCAAACAAGTATATTTTGAACATGCAAACTTGATATAAAGATATAGAATATCTTCATTCATAAATATTATGATGATACACACTTATCTGTACTAGATCTAAAAAGCGGATCTCAAATTATATAAAATAGAAAATTTGGATATTACTTATTTTTTTAGTTTACTTCAGCCGTCTAGGAAAAACACAATTACTTTACAACAGTTTCCAAGTTGAAACTTCAAAAAAAAAGTTTTCTTGACATGTTTGTTTTAAACATGATAAATTTGAATGTCTGAGTAACTTAACATTAGCTGCAGCTGGGAAACACAGTTGAGTTTCCTTTGATTAGTTTCTATTTTTCCCTCAACAGTATTCTGAAGAATACTATCATAGCCATTTGCTACCTGCGACAGTCATCCTTATGCTCTAGGAAGATGATGAGCTAAAACACATCCTATGATTAAAAAAATAAGCATTCCTCATGAATTGACGTAACACAGGACAGCAACCAAATTTGCACACTTCATTATATCCTTGGTTCCAGACTTCCCCTCATCATGACACACATCATATTTGCTAATAATAAGTGAAAAAACCCAGTATCCTCACTGAATGTAAAGGATGGAATGCAAGACCATGAAGGGTCATCTTTTAATGCGTCTAAGTTATATCAGAAAGCTTACGTGATATTATAGAAGATGAAATTAGCATAATACCTGGTCATAGTACATAAAAGTCACTCCTAAAAGTCTGCTGAGAATACTAGCTTTGAAGGTTTTTATTCAGTCAACTGCCTTCATTCATTTATGTTTTCAAATATTTTAATAAGAAAATGGAAAACTATTTTGTGCTTAATATCCTGCCCTTGATAGGACTTTCATTGTTTTTCAATGCATGGAATTACAAAGTTAGTCTTTCATTTTTTTTCTTTTACTCTTTCTTCTTGCTCTCTCTTCACACACATAGATACACACACACACACACACACACACACGCACACACACACACACTCACACACGCGCATGAACGCACAGTGTAGCTTGATACCACTTAATAAGGATAGAGGTGTATGTGTTTTTGGGGTGTCAAACAGCTGTCACAAACTGTCACCTCCACAAGAGAAACCTTGGCACACAATAAATGAAACCACATTCCTTTTTTAGCTGTCATTATTCATAGCCAATAAGTTGAACCGCTCACGGCATTTCATGCGCAAATAAAACCGCGACGTAGCTCAGTAGATCAGAATAGTGGGCCAACAGAGAAAACAGGGAAAACAACAGGCTGTCTGGGCCCTTCTGAAGTGGCTGAGCATCACCCTGCACCAGTGTGCAGCAAATGAGATCCAGCCTGGGGCAAGGCATTAAATATGCATATCAAAGCAAATGAAAAAAAATAAACCTGATGACTCAAATTGAGCACATTTAGATGCTGAAAATGTCCCCCTTACAGCACTTTCAGGTAGGGGTTCTGTGGTCTTTTCCCTCTCTCGTGACGGAGGGGCTGAGGGATGACAAGTTTGTAGGAACGGGTGAAAAGCTTTGGAAGGACGCCCTTTGTCGGGCAGGAGGGGGTGGTGGCCTAAGAACAAATGCAGTCAATATGCCCATGGTACCTAGAAGGCTGCAGAGCTTTCAAGATTTTCTCGTTCGTCCCGCACGAAACCCAAGCATGTGGCAGACCTCTCCGTTTCCCACTCAGTGTGCTGGTGGAACAAATTATTGCTTCATTTCAAAACAAATAGCAGGGGGCTAAAGCAAAAATGCTGGAGTTCAGATCTCTAGGAAATAAAAGGCTTTAAATTATGACGCCCAATGAGGTGGCAAGCCCTCGTGGATTCAAAATAAATCAGTTGTCATATTTACTTGATTGGGGGCTTGAAAGGGTAGCAACAAATGCTCCAGTTGACTCTTTTATCCGAAGATGATGATTGTTAAATTACTCAAGCACTATTCTCTTAGGTACCACCTCCTTCTTGAGTCTGTATTTAAATATTATAGTAGCTTCACAAATTAGCATTGTCTATCAACCAATGCCCCAAACTGCCTAGTTTATCTTATTTCTTCTACACAAACATCAGCACCCCCTAACTCCATACAGCCACCAGAAAAGCCATTGTCAAGAAACTGTTGTAGAAAACCAAGTAGTCACGACCCCACAAAATAACAAGAGGGGGAAAAAAAGCTTTTGATGCAGAAGCAACTAGGGACCTCTCATGCTCCGAACTAGTAGATACAGCCCTCTCTGTCCCCACCCCCATAATACAAATGCATACAAAGTCAGAAACAGAAAGGTGATGAAAATAAGTAAAGAGCAAAAATAAGTAAGTATTTGTGACGTGAACACTCCTCTTGAGCCGCAAGAACACACACTGCAGAGACACAGAGAAGCGAAGGAACTTCCAACAGCTGCTAGACCTTTATGATTTCACTTAACACGTGCAAGGTACAAAACCCCGGACCACTTTCCCCAGCACCTTGGAAACAGGTAAAGGTAAGGACAAGGGCAGGGGCCAGCATTGATTCTGTATCAGAACTGGACATCCATCCTACGCTATGGTTTTCTTTCATTACTGGAAACTTGTAGACTGTTGCCTCACGTAGAGCAAAGGTTAACTTTTCAAATCAATGGCTGCTTCTTTTCAAAAACTTTTGGTAGAGGGAGAGGAGAACTCACAGAAAAGCTATTATTCCTCAGGTAGTTCAATTCACCCCCCCCCCCTTCATACTCAGGAATTTGGGGGTGGGGAGTGCAAACTGCCTTCAAACCTCAATGCCTGTTTAACCCCTATGGGGTGTTAATATTTCAGCTATGAAGCTATCCAGACCACTGCCTGTATTGTTCAGGTTGTGAGTTCAAATGTATAGACACTCTGTCCTCCACCTCCCTGCTCGAGTTCCCAAAATTATACTGCTATTCACACCTACTCTTTAACCTCGGCACTCTTGCCTTCCCTACCAGCCCTGCCAGCTGCAATCCTTCTCCTTGCTTCTTCTTCTTCAGATTTTGGGCATCACTACATATGCTTTTTCTTCCCTCCATCAGATTCACTCGACGAGTTCCAAAATAGGATTAAAAACAGAGAGAATAGAAATCTCCTTTCCTGGCTTAACATCCACGGGCATCTTCTAAGTCACCAACTGTTGAAGTGTTAAAGTGCAATCACTAACCTATGGTTACTCAATCTTAATTCCCTTCAGCTTTCTGTAATACAGTGTTAAAAATTGGTTCATCAAGGTTGCTGTCCTTTATTATAGAGATGCTTCAGGCACTTGGCAATAAGTCCATATTCTGACAATAAGTTTCTGTGAGCTAAAAGTCCTCAGAATTGTAATGTGTTCATTACTCCTTTTTATTGTTAATATACTGCAAAATTGCCAGGAATTCTCAGGATTATCTTCTCTGGGAGGGATATAGGCCCCCATTTCCCAGTTCTCTTCTTGCTCTTATCCCCCCCCCACCCCATGTGCCTGCTCCATTCCTTCCTCTCCTGCTAACTACCTTGTCTCTAGCTATCTCTGATGCCTTGATTACACACAGAAAGAAACCAGGAAAGACAGAAACCATCCTATCAAAAAGAGCATTTGCTAACACCCATGCCCCAGGTCCAGGAAACTTCGCACGTTGAAAGCACAAATCAATTCTACCATCTCCTTGGTTCTCTGACTCTCAACATAAATAAGGGCAGGTCCAAGAAAGAGGAAATCAAAATAAAGGCCACGACACTGGTAGTGAGACAGGGAAGGCAAACTCCAAAAGCAACCACACCATTAGAAACCAAAACAAGTGAGCTCAATACCACAAGGTTTTAGAGACATGCTTTGCCCAGTGGCCTTCAGAGAACGCCACCAGCTCTACACACTTACGTGGTCGGCAAGATTTGTGGAGGAGCCTGAAAGTTCTTCATGGTCTGACTTGGAGCTTCCATCTCTCTCGTCAATCACGAGGTCAATGGGCATTTTCCCCTTCAAGCAACTGATGTACCGGTGGCAGAAGTTATCACACAGTTCGTGGACCTAGGAGGAGGGTCATGGCGGAGGTTCAGCCCAGATTGTCTTTATATGTTTCATTTTTAAAGAGGAAGAATATTGGGTTGCAGGGTTACATTTGTAAAGAGCAACAGTGTTAGCCTTTCGAACAAACTCTAATTAAGGGGTGTAAGAGCTGAAGGCAAGGAGACAATAGAGCAATTGTGGCAAGATAGCATTCGCCAGAGACTCCCCTGAGCAACAAGTTACTATAAAGAAAGAAACTGGACTGCAAAGAACTGGGTTCAGATGAGGAGAGCAGAGACAAAAATATGACTGGATAATAACCCGGAAACATGTAAACCCTAGAACTGGGGGCACTTGTGATTTCAAAAGCAAGGTGTTGTGTATGTTTCCTGGGGGGAATGATTGATCGACTTAGTGCACAGACACCCCAAAGAGGGCTATTCCTTCTGCTTGCACCCAGTTCGGGAACTCTGGGCCTAGGGTAAGTGGAGCTAATAGAGACACAAGCAGACATTGTGCACAGCAACACAAGTGGTTCCTGCTGTACTTCAAATAATCCTGAATGCCTGGGGGTGGGGGGCTTTAAAAGGCATGGCTACCCTGATTCCCACATCCTCCGAGGCCCTGGATTGAGAAGTCTATAAAGGAGGAACATAGGAACGTGAGCAACATCTCCAGATGAGTAATCTTTCATCCGGGAGGCATGTAACATCCCAGTCATCTGGCTGAAAGAATGCGGGGGTCATCAAAATGGGGACTGCTGTTTCCTGCTTACCTTTTCCAACTCCAGAAGATGAAACCTTAGTACTTGTATTGCTTGTATCATCTGAAAGGGAAATTTAAGAGAATGGAGTGAGGGTTCTGGGATGTGCAAATGTGTGTGTGTGTCTGTGTGTGTGTGTGTGTGGGGTATGTTGAGGGAATTGGGCAGAGGAAAAAGAAACCAGCAGGTGGCCGGGCAAAACCCACACATCAAGAAATAGGAAAACCAAATGATTACTGATCATCTCTGCCTCATTGACCACAGAGGTGGGAACTAGTATAAGGGGTAGCCTTAGTATTCATTTCTCCCCCCCCCCCTAGGCTCACAGTGTGCTGTTGGTAAGGGCTGCCTTTCTCCCACCAGGTCTTCTTATTCCATCCCAGTCTTTTCTGTCTCCTCCTACCCTCCACCGCAGGTCAAATTGGAAAAGGAGGAGGAGGGAGAGATAATAGAATAAAACAAGATAATAAGAGGGAAGAGAAGAGAAGAGAAGAGAAGAGAAGAGAAGAGAAGAGAAGAGA